CACAATGTGGACTCTATTACATGAACCGTGTTGGACTCTAACCTGGTACGAGAGTAGCACGTTTTCTGACATTTATTGAGGCAGCTATCGCAGTTTTCACATAATTTGATTCAGCTTAGTCCTAATAGGCAGAAAATTGAATTGACTTAGCTTGACTATTAAAGATCACTAGTTGTGAGCCAAAAATTTGAAATTACATGAACGCAGTTTTACCATTAGTCGATGTATCGCTTGGTGGATCTGGCATCGCATGAGATTGATTTGAAACTCAATTTGAGACTTCTTAAATTCATTCAACTTGACGTGTACATGAACTGATCTGACCAGACTTAGACATGCGATTCACAGAAGTATTCAGACATCTATGCACAACCCAACGGCAATAACCTAGAAAACTCATAGCTGAGGAACAAGCTCCTGGATCTGATCGCTCGTTAGAGTTAGAGGAATCGCATAAGAGAACAGTTTGTTGCGGCACGGACTGTAGCAAGTGTTGACAATAACTACACTGGCATATCAAAGGATTAAAAATATCCCTATAAAACTGAGTTCCACGAACGTAGGGTATGAATAGCCTTATGAAGTTAGCGGTAGGTCTGGAAAGTTCGCCTGGACCACTCACCTGTAGAGTCGAGTCGCTAAGTGGTGACTCGAAGAACGTGTTACTCGTAGTGCTGTTTGATAACAGCTGGAATAAACTTCCAATGTTATCAAATGTGTTATGAGGAGAAATCTCTCAGGTGTTTGTGGTTACTCGCCGAAGCTTATCTATTAGCTAGTATCATGACGGCATTCATACACTTTTACGATGCAGTCCTTATTTCCCTTGCCAGTATAGTTATTGTCTGTAATTAGTGCTAATAAGGTAATTGATAACTTTGAGAAATCCCTTCAAATAAGATGTGAAGCATTCAATTTGGTAAGGGAGAGGTATTTAAATACCATCAAATTTTAAAGTCATCGCCTGTGTTCTTTATAATCGATCGCTTTCGAGAGCTTATATCCCAGGCCAGGTTTGAACTGGATAACTGCAGTTTGATCTGTGCATATAAGCTAGAATTTTCTCTTTATCACTGGCACTTGGAATGTGCTGTCGTGCAGGTTCCCAATGAGGTATTCGGGAAATAGTAGTTTTGGGGTAATCTTATGATGTTTTTTCATAGTTTATAATTGGAGCACTCAGATGAAAACTGGAGGAATAGAAAGGCAGGTAGGTTTTCTCGGATTGCTCTCTTACCTTGTGTAGACGGAGACATGGCCTGAGTCAAGCTTCACTTATTAATAGCTTGACTTGACTTCAAACTTATTTTGAGTTGAGCCAAAATGATTGCAGCTCGCTCGGTTCTGTTTCGATTTTAAGGTATTCTTTAGAATGTGTTCATATTATTTTGTTTTGAATTGTCCGATTGGATGTAGCCATTGAAAACCCTTGTTTATATGAATATTTGTTTGATTGTTCTGTTGCTGTTGTTGTTTACGTGATTTTTTTGTGTTGTTGATGTGATTATTTCGCGTTTTCGTGCCGTCATCACTTTGTTCATTGTTTTTTTGATCATTACCATGTTTTTTATGCTGTCGCGCCAGGCATAATGAGGGGAGGTGTTGCTAGGCATAATTTATTGGCGTTCAATGTTTAAGACAGAATCGCAAAATGCGTGAAGAACACCGTGCTATGTACCAGGTGTAATTCGACGTCATATGATAGGGACGGGCTCACGTTTGAAGCTCTTGCCTGGACATGAGCTCATAACTTTGCTGAGATTTGGATAAATTTGAGAGTAACAATGGTGCGTGACGCGACAGCTGCATAAATATTTTCACACGTGTTCCCACACATTATACCGAAATCGCCTAAAATGATCAACGAGCTGTCAGAATTTGTCGAGTTTAGGATTATCGTGGCGGCAACTGTTGTAGTTTCGTGCCAATAGGTTTGAGCGAATTCAAGTGCAGTATAGGTTCAAGAGCAATATGGATTTGAGAAGGCATTTTGAGAATTTGCTGACGCAAAACACTGTTAGCGATTTAGCAAAGCGTAACTGAAATGGGTAACCATGAATTGAGGAACATTTCGTGCGAAGATCGCACACATGTCTTGTTTTGAGGAACATCGCACATAACGCGCACATAGCACATAATTTGTTTTGCTGTAGTTTCGTTTCGACTGGTTTGACTATTTAAGTGCGGTATATGTTGCAGTCTTAGTGAGAGAAATTTTAGTACGAAAAAACTTAAGCATAGTGTGACAATTCTCGAGGAATGAATTAGCTTCTTTCGAAGAACATGACGATACGACAAAGAAACCAGAGTTCTGGATTAAGATAATAGATTCTCTCGAAAGGAGACAGTGTTTATGAAAGACATTGGGCATGTCGTTTGGTGTTGAATAGGAATGGCAAAACAATACAGCGAGTAGAGCATTCATGGTATGACGTGTAGTGCATGTTAGCGTGAATCCTACAATAAGATCAGCAGGCTAGGATGAGCATCACTGTTTGAAAATCAGTGATATGCACAGAAAAAGTTGCTGCCTATGACTTATGTTCCATTTTTTCTTCTATGGAGAACATGTAACTTCGAAAAAGACCTTCTGCATTTCCTTCCAACAACCATGAGTCAGGCTTCATATCCATATCTTCAGCAGTGTTCAGTCAGCGCTTCTGAATATACACGCATGCTCCTCTTTCCTTCGATCAACTAAACTGAGTGAGGAAATTCGTGAACGTAACCACACAAGAACCGTGACAATTGTAATGATAAATTGTTCAAACTGAACGTCACTTCATCTTTTTTTAGGAGTCTTTGAAACCTCAGTTCATTCCACCCAGCAGCCAGTACAAACACTGTCAATACCATTTAATAAAGTTCAAAGCTTGGAAACCACTCATTTGTAAGTTCGCGTTCTCCAGTAATTTACAAACTACGTTAAATCGAATAAATTAATGATTGGGGAATGCCTCCGAAAACCTTGCTGGCAACTGTGTAGGAAAGGTTAAAGTTTATTGCAACCGGTTTGGAAAAATTTGGAGCAATTTCATCATATCGAAATTTTATCATTATTCCTGCCCTACAATGGAAATTTTGCATTAATCGAATAAATTTTGTTAAATAAAAATTCAATAAAAACTTCAAAATGAAGATTTTCCCATGCAGATAAGCGGTGCTATTGCAAATTTCGAGCGAAGGTTCCAAAGCAGCGAGTAGCGATAGCGATAGCGGTAGCGCCTCACTAGTGCTTCGGGGATAACAGTGGTAGCGCTTTTTTTCAGCTGACATTTTTCGGTAGCTGGGTAGCGATAACGCGCTATCGTTTTTCGTTACCGTGCCCATCTCTGCATTCAGTCATGCTGGGGTTTAAGAACTTATGAATTTGCAAGCAAATTTTCGTGAAATGACAGGTTTTAAGAAATTCGGGTGTATGAATGGTAGTGATACGAGAGCATTTTCATATGAAATCTCTTATAAACGCAAGTTTTGTTCTGTGATCTATCCAAAGCCATACACCTATTATGTCATCAGTTGTGGCATTCTAAGACCAAGTTATACTCACAATCAGATGAGGGTATATTTGTCGCGTTATGCGGATTTTACACCTAATCATGCAGTTTCCATGGATTCTATCATAATTTGACTTAATTGTGCCGATATCGTCTGTTTCAATGATATATATTATCGGGTATCACCCGATTTCGAAAGACCTGTCATCTTTTGCCATGGTTTCATGTTAAAGTTTGTTTCACTCTTCTCGATACTTGGCAATATTTTCTCTATTTTCATATGATATCGCCAAGACTGTAACTTTCATGCAGCGGCTAAGGCATCCGTTCGAAAAAATGATGGTTCCGTCATACCGGGACTGATTATCTGTTAAACAGATTGACGGTTCCTCGGTATATGTTTCGCCCTAAACCTAAGCCTTCAGATGATCCACCGGAATTATTTCCTTTCGGTGTCGCCACGTTTAGCACATGCAAGATTTTTTCAATAACTTATTTCAGAGCGTAACATAAAAATGTAATGTTCAATTAGGCAATCATGAATAAATGAACCTTATTCTTCAAAATAAACGAAACAAACTGCATGTCAAAAGTTTGACATGTGAATAAGAAATGCACATTGCGAGAACAACAAATGACAAAGAAAGTACACGATTACAGAAAAACTCGTTCACCGATATGTGAATTAGGTTGAAATTTACGAAATGCATATGTCTCATAAAAACTAGCACCTATCCTCATTCCTACTCACTGTTCACGATTCATTCGAAATCCATGCCCACCATATATTAATCGGAATGTTGGTTTCGATTCAGTTTAAGCTAGGAGAATTTCAACCTGATAAGATATGTCATCATCTTGATACGTCGTCACTGATGATATGTTACATCTATCAACGTGCTCTTGCAGGACTGTAACCAGCAGTGCGAAATTTTTCCAGCACTTCATCTGGACAATTATTCAGACAACAACACAGTGTTCCATTCATGCTCTCCACACCATAGCACTCATACTGACTCTCCGAATTAAATAATCTCACTCTCGAGCATAACTTTAAGCCAGCATAAAACGGATTTGACACAGCAAGTGATTCTATCCTATCCATACATCCCATCTGAAATTTTTATATTGTAGTTAGTGGATATGAATATTCAGAATTGTGTTACCACTGGTTATATAAAGGTGAAATTTGCTTCCACGAAAACAGGTCGTAATTGATTATACAAGAGTAATTTCCAATCCGCCATATTAGATATTTGTTAAATGAATATCAGATGCACAAAAAAAATTAATCTGTAAACAATTGGGGAAAGAAACTAACAATATTGAGGGAATTATTGTAATAATTACGATACATGAAACATCCAGCGTGATTTGTGCACTCAGTCTCTGAGTATAGGCTAGTGCGACAAGCCTTTCGGGTTCTTTTCAATGATTTTTGGTGTTTGCTTGCGAGAAGACGTTTTAAGGATCCCAGCTCAGATTCACCTGAAACATATTCGTTTGATTAACGGCACTCAACTGAGCCTGACAGCATTATTTTAGCTGGATTCAAATCTAATATAGTTTCAAAAAGTCATTCAAGACCACATAAAGTCGATGCCGATCAAGCAAATGAACTAGTAAGCAACGTACTGTTACAGCCTTCAGACGACGCCTTACAAACGTTAATAAGCGCGTAGCCATGATCTGAACGGAAGAATTGCATTCGACGATGTTGTAAGTGAAACCTCGAAAGAATTGCACTGTATTCTGCATCAACAGCACCGAGTTTGAACGAGAACTTATTGTTTTGCAGATGTATGAGCATGTAACATAGTGGAACATCATCAACCAATACTTCCTGAATTGGTTGGCATGTGATTTCCACGATAGAAACAACACCTACTCAATCTGAAGGGAATAATTAGCTGATTTTTGTTATTTGATACTCAACAAATATTAACTAAGTATTATTTAGCAAGTACGGTCACAGTCTAAAATATCCAATAACAGAGTTAGGAAATTGGTTTTGTCAAATAACAATAACAATCACCCCTGCACTAGTATTATTGAACAGGAAATGATCCGACTTGCGTTGTGCACCAACAAAACATTTACGACGCTGTTTCATAGCGGCTGTTGGTTTCAAGTTTTTCTCACAGAATTGCTTCTGGAAACTATTAAAGTATTCTTTGCACGCTGATTATAGATTCCTTTAATTCAATACGCTTACAATCCAATGAGACAGTACGATATGCAATTCAACATCAAGAAAAACTGATGCAACAACCTGAGCAATCATCGTCACACGACAACTTAAAGTGTTCATCGAAAAAAATTAGTGAAATTTTTTCAATAATCATGCGGAATGTCAATTTTGAAACATTTCTCCAAAAAGTATCAAGTATCGGTTGGTCCTTATATCTTCCAACATAGTGTTGGAGTGCTTTGCCTTTCATGTTGCATTATTGTTTGTACATATTTTTTACTCAGCAATAAATCATTATCGATCGAATCAGCATCAAGAATAGGTGGAATCAGCGACTGCTCCTGTTCAAAAATTTGCTGCATTTTGTCTTTATCCATTGGCGATAAAGTCGAAACTCTTTGCGGTTTTGTCGTATTTTAATAAAAGAAAATTTTTTGCTCTGTCATTCGGTTATTTGGTTCGATTTGTCGTGATGAAGCAATAAAAAATGCTGATGTGCAAATTTTTACCGATGATTCGGAGTGTGAGCAATTTTGAATGCAAAAATTGCACTCTAATAAAAACGAAATTCAAAAAATGAACCGTTTGGCTCCTATCCTTACGACAAACGCAATAAATCGCCTCGTGAACAACTTGCAGAGTATGACCGCAGTCGGATAATTTCATCGGAACATAACTGAACACATTACATTCTGTACCACTCCACTTCTGTTGTTTTCTCATGTTTCTCAAAATAGGAATACTGTTAGTCGTTTCATAATGCACCTCAGTACCTGATAATGCAATCGAATTTACCTGATGTTCCTGTCAGCAGTGAATGCATTGATGTCAAACATTATTGAAATCGGTTTACGGCTCGAAAGTTGAAAGAATGTAAAGCACCATAAATCTTTTGGAGGAAGCATCGAAAACACTTGCATCTGATACGAATAGATGTAATTGCTACAGGCTGGCATGAATCTGAAAATTTTCATTTGTTCTTAATTGTGATCGCTGCACCTTGGACATCGAAAGCGCCGTGACCTTTAAAAGAAAGAAGAAGATAACAAAAGGATAACAGCTTGGATGAGAGTTATGTTCATGGTAATCTTAGCGGCGCCGAGACAATTCGCTAAGGGGCGCTCGCGATTCGCACTTGCTTAGGAGATGCTAAGGCGTAGAGTGGGATTTAAGGTTAGCCTTGGACATGGGCTCAGCCCTAAATCCAGGCTTAGGCTCAGGGAAGTGGAGAAGGTCGGAGGAACATAATGCATTACAAATTGTCTCGAACACCTTCATTCATAATCATTTTAGTTACTTCCTCGAAGAATAGCAGATAATTAGATAACAGATACAAGCCGGATCATAGCCTGGCTCAGGCTCACAACATTAATGATATTGGTTCACCACTCGGTTTCGAGCAAAACTTTCCTCTGCGAACGGAAAGTTTTGCTCGAAGCCGAGTGGCGTACCAATATCATTAATACTTCCTCGAATGTATTATATTAAACAGCGACTTACGCTGTGTTCGTCAGACTTTCGATTAAACTTCGGTTGTGAAAACCGTCGTGATTGCACAAATGGTTGTTGTTGCAACACTTAATAAATTTCGCTGTTACAGCAGAAGATCTGTTGAAATCGGTGACGATACACTGTGCGGGAACTGTTCTTACATCATATCGATTCACTCCAATAGTCTCACACACACCACTTAGGTCTGCATTGAATTCAATCGCTATCCTTCAATAAATCTTATTTAGCCCGTTTTTGAAGCTATCTATCAGCTTTTTCCGGAAATTGAGATGACCGATTTGTTTTGATTCAATTTCTTTGATAAGACGTTATGTGAACCCATTATGAACTGCCATGAAAACAAGAATGAAAGACCAGCTTTAATGATGCGGAAATAATGCTTGTGTCACATAAATCACCATTTCCATCAACGTCTTTAGAAACGAAGCACAGATTTTAATGTTCAAAACACCCAGCAATGAACCATGTAATAGGAATCCAACCTTTCGTGATTTCAGTGGAATTAAATTTTCAAACCTTAGCAAAAATTTTCACGACTGACATGAGAGGATTTTCAGAATCGTAGGTGTCATCAACATGGGTATTAACGAATCTTTTGACCGACAAAATAAGCTCAAACTTCCATGTCCAACGTAGTCTACATACTGGGTTGAAGCCTTCATCATGCCGTCGTTGAAGTCGACTGAAACAACATTAAGACAATGCGAAGAGCGATCAGGCAGTGACGTTCTGAACACTCTTGTTAGTTGCGATGTGACTCGTCCAGATTTCGCTTGCAGTATTAATTTTCCATGTGCACAATGCCAAAGACGTGTCTGAGCCAACGTTTCAGATGAAAGATTGCCTGAATAAAATGCTGTCTAAGTTGTTTAGCCTTCCGTGAGAAATCAACTCGCATTCTAATAAAAACTTTTCATGTGGTTGTAATCTCTTTATATTCGCAAGCAATCCCTGTACAAAACACCACTTTGTCAGTTTTCTGACAAAGAAATTTCCTTCTTGAAAATTCCCTCTAAATTTCCTCAAGATTCCCTTTCTGTTGGTGACGATACAGCTGGAAGCATCTCTCAGAAGGGGATTTATCTCTGTTGCAGCTCGAAAATCTTCAAAATTGAATAGCACACATCCGCTACAGTCTAGAAATGCTCATTCAGCCATGCACCACTGCANTATCAAAGCAGCTACAGTGTATAACAAAAACTGGAATGAAGATGTGATGATCTATGAGAGAAGGAGAATGGAGCGGTGTCGAAATTCGATAGTTACTGTGAATTTGTGAACTGAATTTGTGTGCCGAATGCATTTTTCAAAGAACATATGCTTTCTGTTCAAAATTTATCAGTGTCGATTGCAAAACATTTCACTACTTTAGACCATCGAGATATTATTGAGCTTTAAGCCGCTTTTGCGAGTCCTATTCAACCGCTCTAATCAATGACAATGGATTTTTATTCTTCAAAGAAACGGTTGAGGTTGAGATTTGGCAACGAAAAAAGCATCTGTCAAATTTACAAGCACGATGAAGTACCATCTGGTCGACTGTAGATAAAATCTCGATAAATCCAGTCGTGTAAAAGGTCTGTATTTGACCAATCCTTTTCGTAAACGGTTTCCCTTTCCAACGGCTTTCCATTCTTCACGATTACTGCCGAGTGCAAATGAGCTTTATCTTGCCATATTGGTATGTTTACTGCCGGATAGTAGAGTTGCTTAACCGATGAAGAGAAGGCACAGTGTGAATATGTCGAATGCTTATCGGGATAACAACAACAGTACAACGCATAGTCATACATTGAAACATATTGCCAGCATTCTCCATCCCTCAATTCTGTTTCCTTTCGCATACTTCCTTTTGTTGCACACAGTTTCTGTTGCGACGCCAACCGTGCCAATGAATTCTATAAATCATTCCGTTCATTTTCAAACATTTTGTTTATCACCCAAATCCGAATTGATAGATCTGAAGGTTCGAAACCCAGCTACCAGTGTATTGAACAACTAAAGGAATTCGCCTTCAGTTCAGAAAACAATTATTGACTCACGGCTTTCCTTGCATTAGAGCGCTCACTGAGCCCTCGACTCCGAGATTCTCAAACGATTAAATTGGTTATATAAGGTTCAATAATATACTGCGTGCTCTCGACGTTTCTATGCTGACACTTAATCTAAGAATTAGTCGTCTCCCTATCCGCTCACAAAACCTTTTCAAGTTCAGCAAATGATTCAGACGCTGCTTTGTTGAAATGGCATTCATTACATGCCAATATCAAATGAATCTGCATTGGCGAGTGACGTCAATCTAAACGTTTGTTCGTGATAATAGGAAGTGGCATTTGTAAGCTTAAATCGCCCACTAAGATCAAAAATGTTAAGCGAGACAAAGTGTGGATGATTCGGTCGAAAATCAGTTCCATATTTGAGCGTTAATCAACAAATTCTCGAACGGACTGAGTGACGATGTGCAGTCTGATAACGTTGATCAATACGGTTGAATAGTAGAGGACCCGAATAGATTGTCACATTCGAGTTCTTCTCCAGCATGAAGAAGCATGTGTGAACACCCTTGATATAACCCTTAAAGTTGAATGTTCGTTTTGAGAATTACATCCATTACGCCAGTCTTAGATTGTTTCACTCAAAATTCACTTAGAGAGTTTTCAGTAGATCTTAGCCATTACGAAAAGATAACAGTAAATAACTTAAGGCATTGTGACCAACCATAAGTGTACCATCTGGAGTGAGACATCTGAGTGACGGTCTACCGTGATTTATCCATTCATGTGGTAATTTTGGCAGATGTTCCATTGCATTCAGTTGGAGTTGCAATATTATGGCATTTTCAGACTTCTTAAAATGTCAATTAAAAGTCACTTAAACGCTGGGAATTTTGACCAATCGTAAGCGAATAGATGGCTTGATTTAGATGAATTTATTTGAATGGAGAAAAAATGACTTCAGATCAGTAAAAGAGCTCGAGTAATTTGGAGGAGGCGCGTGTGTCGCAGGTTTTTGATGATTATTTCTAACTTTTCGCCATTCTCCAAAACTCTTAAGAACTGAATAACACTGAACAAAACTCTTTAGAAAATTGACTGTTTTTGACTTTTGCAATGAATAAGGACATCACTGAAGCTCAATTTGCCAAAAGGTCAATGGCAGATACATCATTCCTATACCATTGACTTGATTCTAGAAGCAGCGACTAAAGGTTAGACTTTGGCTGAGGCTTGGGTGGGTTTGAAATTGGCGTCATTAGTGAGTTTTTCTGATTAAAGTTGTCATGGGCTGAGACTTGCACGGAGCTAGAATCTGATCAAGAAATAGTGTTCTGCTCAGGATCAAATTAAAAATTAGCTTTGTGTGTAGCAAGTTAAAACCAGTTTGCAAGATTATAGTAACGATTGAGCCTTCCGACCAATCAAAATAATTGTTTTCGAGATCTCGACGATGAAAGTGAATGCATTTCAAAAATTTAATAACTCACTTTTAGCATGTGTTTGCAAGCCTTAATGCTCCAACAACACATATAGAAAACGTCATACAGTACCATCGGCCGCGATAAGTTCTTTCCATCCCAGTCGTCACTTCAACATTACCACATTACTAACACTTTCATTTAAAAGGCACTCTGTATCGTTTTCGATTCAGCTATTCTTTCATTCGGATCCACAACATTCATCAACAACATTCGTCAACTCTGACAACTGAGTCGTGCATTACTCTAGCGTGACAGTGCTTTGATGGAACTATGAGTCGATCGTTGCGTAAGAATGACAAATTTGGTATCAGAAACAATTTATTCTTCATTCTAAATGTTACATTTTGATAATCTTTCTGCGCTAATCATGCATTTTCAAGATAGTGTTGCCGTTTTGTAAAGAAAGCGATAACTTGAACTCAAGAGAACCACTCGATTAACAAGTCTCATGCAAACGACGATCGCTCTTCAATGAAAAATGAATCCGAGATGCTATGCTACAGTGGGTTATAATGCTCTTAAAACTAACATGTAGCGGTTTGGTATTGTTCTGGCACCGAATGAAAAGCCGTTGAAGGAACAGTGTTCACGTGCCTTTCGTTTCCCACTGCAGTAGGGCGCTATGTTTCGCGTTATCACTTGGCCATCGTCTTTTGTTCCGTTCAGTAGTTCGAATTTTTGTGTGCCAATCTCGAACGCGTACCAGCAATAGAAATTCTGAATGCTTTTACTTTGATTATTTCGAGCCAATGTTAGAACTGTTTTCGCAATGTACTGCACGCATTTTCTAGTATTCCTGTGATTGTGAATTGGTTTCCAGTTGACACTTCTATTTGTTCTCGTTGCTTAAGTATTTACTTTCTTCTCCATTGAATTCATTAAGTGATACCACATGCGTTCACGAATGTCATCTCACGAGTTCACTGTTTTGAGAAGAGTTTGTTCGTTGCTTATGTTCTCGTCGCCAAAATCAATGCAGAATCATTTTAGAAAACTTGCATTTTTCTGCAAGCATTTTTTCAATCGTCGACCGACTGTGCTCGACTGTTGAGGTCCGCCTTTGCAACCTGAAAGAGCCAACTTTTCTCACCTTTAGACACAAACAGCACTTTGGAGATCACATGCGTTC